TACATATACTCAAAATCTTGAAAATCTCTAAAAAAGTAAGAAAAATTTTATAGTGCCCTAGCGTGTTTTTGAAACTTTATTCACCTTTTGCGGAATTTTTAGGGTAATTTTTTCACTTTTCCCTACGAGACAAGGGTTACACATGAATTCGTAGTGGTTTGTCACCTGCGTCACGGGCCCCTCCAGGGCCCGGGCCCCGGTACCAAGGACCCAATATCCCCCCCCCCCATGTGGCGGGCCTGCATGGTAGAGATCCTCCGGAAGCACGCATCTCTCCATCTCTTCACGGATGCCCTCTATCCATCGTTTGGCTGGACCCTCTCCATCGCCTACCTGGGGGAACCCACTCCAACACCTTCTTCGGCAACCTGGTATCAGCCATTCTCTGCACATGCCTGTACCATACCACTCGCTTGGTCATGATACCGTGCACAATTATTGTCCCCTGAACGCCCATTATCTCTCGGACACGTTCTATGAAATCCTGATTTCATAATTTTTCCAAATCCTGAATTTTTGCGGAGAAAAATTAATATCACAAAAATAGCTCGATAAAAAAATCCTATCGGTCGACCGATTTTTCTCAAATCCTGATATTACGACTAATTGTTCCTCAAATCCTAATTGACCTTAAATCCTGATAGAACCTGATATTGAGTATAACTTGTAAATGTTTTTCTACAAATTTTTGGGACAATTTGGTTTGTATTGAATGTAAACATCTGAAAATTTCAAGGAAAAATGTGCAGAACTTTCTTCAAATAACAATTTTGTAAATGGGAAAATTTGGCAACGCAACAAAGATTGGCACTTGAAAAAATACACAAAAAAGGGAAAAAAGGGCTAAAAAATAGATCTGGTGGATCTGAAAACTGGTAAAAACAGAACCAGGAAGTCTCACATGACTATTTTCAACTGGAAATGAGGTGTTTGGAGGACAAGGTTCATGAGTGCAGTTTTTTTGTTTTTTTTTAAAAAAAAAAAAATTGAAGGATTCATGATTTTAACTAAAACTAGTCTTCAAATATACTTTGTGAAAAATTCACAACTAAAATCCGATTTTTAAGCATCGGAAAGTGAGTTTGATTGGCCTCATTGGCAGCATGCATAAAGCGGAGCATTGCAAATTCACGCTTCGCGCCATCGCGCCTTCAATGTTTCAGATGCAACACGGACATCCATCAAGCACGAATAGTTGTATCTCTGCGCCGTCACCAACTTCCATCCTTTCCATGTTATGCATTGGTTGTGTTTGTCTTATTCGCAGTGATGCTTAAAGGCCAACGTGAGCAACTCATTGATTGATTCTGAAGATTTAGTTCCGACTTTCCTATATTGTTTTCATACACGAAGAGTAAAGAGACATTTTCGACGAAAGTCGCAGAGAATTGTGTTCGCTTCTAGTTGGTGTCAGATGATAATACATCATTCGATGCGGCGCAAAACGGGACGTTTTAATTTTGCGGAAAAGTCGCGCTTTAAAAATCGCATTTTGCTCGGGCTCTCAGTTATTTTTTCGCGCTTTTGATGTTCGAATCGTGTTCTACGCGTGAATTACCCTCGGAACAATGTATTCGCAAGTCAAAATTCGTTCATTGTTTTGTGACCCTGTGAAAAACTGTGCTACTCTCTGATTGGTCGGCTATTGTGGAGCCCCAAAGTTAGACCAATGTAAACAAACCCCAGCACCTCTGCTCCTATTTTGGCCCAATGTAAACAAACAAGACGGCGACAAAGTTCTACAAAGTTGTAGACGTGAGTTTGGATATGATAGACATTATTTTATGAACAACTCCTAAATTGAGTTCGGATCAACCTTTAATAGATATTTTTGCCGAAAAGTAAGCTGTGAGTGTGATTATCATTCATTTCTCAGCCGGTAATACGTGTTTCTCTGGGCCGAGTTTGTTTATACATTGGTCCAACTTTGGAGCTCCATGATAACCTAAACCTGGACTGCATTTTGCAATTTGGAACTACAAATTGGACGCACTTCTGTCAAATGGAACTATGTGCATTATGACGTGAGCCCTGTTATGCATTTATTCTTATGGGTATCAGGGCTCATGTCTTCATGCACATAGTTCCATTTGACAGAAATACGTCCAATTCTGGCTCTTCTGGAAAAACACTTATATGCATAGGGAAACTAATGGCACATACGTTGTTTTTACACCGGGCTAGAATTTAAAGTTCCAAATTGCAAAATGTAGTCCAACTGATGAACCAATCAGAGAGCGGCACAGAGATGGCAATAATCGTTTCCCGTACCTATACGGGTACTTTCAAACACTCCACTTTATCGATCCTTTTCCATAGGTTTAATGGCAATATTCTCCCGTATACAAGTACTCTAAAACACCCCACTTATCGATCCTTTTCCATGGGTTTAAATGGCAGATCAATCGATGTCCTGCAAAGCACGACACGCCACTGCAAGCTACCACCCTCGCAGAGAGACGGGACTCATTACCAACCCCTCGCTGCATAAACACCGATCCCGACTTCCGACCTTCAAAATTGGCACGACACCTTGACTTTCACTGAGACCCTGACCGCTACTCCTTTTCCGACGACGATCTTGCCTCCGCGGTCATAAATTCACCGTCTTTGTCGAAGCATTTTACGATTGCCCGGTGCCTAGCTAAATCAATTCCACGTGCAGTTAACACGAATTCCGTATAATTGTATGCTGACTTACTTAATTTCCAAATTAACATTGTTACTTGCCCGCTTGAACTTTAGTTTTACTCTTTTTGTCATTTTTAATTTTTATTGAATCTTCAGGTTCATCGTTGGAAACCATTTGTCTATGCGTGCCATTTGGACGTATTTCTGTCGAATGGAACTAAGCGCCAATTTGAGTTCTTTGAGGAATTTAGAATGCCGGGTAGCGCGTTCTGTCAAACGGAACTAAGCGCCATGGAAAAGCATTGCGAGTATAGGACGGAATGAGCCCGACGCCCGGTTTCGCCGCCAATCAAAGCCTCCCTCTACCTTCCTCCCCCTACGGCGCTTAGTTCCGCTTGACAGAAATACGTCCAATTTCATCAAATGTTGATGATTCTAGCGATTTTATCGCCAATAAAATGGACCACAAGACAAGGTACGAATTTCAGCATTCTGATCCATGAATCTTCATCAGAATTCTACGTAAAACACGATGCGCACAACGAAAATTACCGAGATCAACTCCTTCCGAAGATATTTAATGATTCTTGGTGCGTGAATTCAAACCATCCGCTCATGAAAACTCAATGCTCTACGTGATTCACATCGAGCGCTAAACGTTATCATGACAGTCTCTGCGATATAAAAATCTGACAACCTCGATCTTGACGCTTTGGCTCAGCTATAGCAAATTGCTTATAGTTTGAACAACACATGGTGGGACATGAATATTGCTCAACTGAAAAGCTTGCTGAAACCGTTGTAGTGCGGGATTTGATTCACGTAGAGCTTTGAGTTTCTTGTGAGCGGGCAGTTCAAATTCCTCGTAACCAATGTGGAATAAAAACGTTAATATCTTCGTTAGGAGTTGGTTTAAGTAATTTTCGTTGTGCGAATCGTGCTCTACGTAAAATTCTGACTAGGAACCATGTATCAGAAAGCTTAAATTCGTACCTTGTCTGGTGGTCCATTTCCGTCGATCAAATCGAGATTAAATCGCTATTTATCGCGATTTTTATTTCGAAAATATCACGATTTTATCCCGATAAGTTCGAGGATAATCGCTCAGATGTTGATGATCTTAGCGATTTTATCGCCAATTTAATTGCAATACACTGGAAAAAACAACACATTGGATCTAGAGTCCAGACTCCTAGAAACATCGACAAGAAAAAATACTCTTGATTCAATCAGAATCTGGCTTAAATCAAGAACCAAGCTTCTTAATTTAAGCGGATTCCATTTTGATTCAAGCAAAAATCCGATTAAATCAAGAGTCATTTTTCTTGTCAATGTTTTTAAGATTCTATACTCTGGATCCAATGTGTTTTTTTTTTCCAGTGCACAGTGCGGTCAGCAGCGGTCGCCATGTAACGCATAGCGCCCCAAGACTGTAGGAATACTTCACGCATTGCGCCAAACATAGTGCGAGTATTTTTTCTTGTCAATGCTTTCAAGAGTCTGGACTTTAGATGTATGTACGTATGAGCCGCTTTTACGGCGCGCTAGGGCGCTCTACGACGCCTACTCTCCACAGGAATCTGTCATGGTAGAGATCCTCTGGAAGCTGGTATCTCTCCATCTCTTCACGGATGGATCCCGCCTATATCCCGCCCCCGGCGGGATGCCCTCTACCCACTGCTTGGCTGGACGCCCTCTCCGTCGCCTACCTGGGGGGACCCACTCCAACACCTTCTTCGGCAACCTGGTATCAGCCATTCTCTGCACATGCCCATACCATACCAATTGGTTGGTCATGATATCGTGCACAATCGTCCCCTCAACGCCCATTATCTCTGGACTTTAGATCCAATGTGGTTTTTTTTTTCAGTGTATTTCCGGACTTGTAGACATCCTGAAATTTCGTTTGGCAGAAATACGTCCAATTGTCGAATTTATATTTTCCGATCAACTCCATGTACCCTCCCTAGAAAATAATTGAACAATTTTGTTCGTCTCCGTGTACTAAGTTGTTGAAGTTGTGGTTTTGTGTGTTGCAGCTACCATGTCGAGTCGGGTGGGCGGTGGTAGCAGCAGGCTCGGGCCGGGGGGCCCGGGGGCCGGCGGGGACGAGCACGCGCCGGTCCAGGAGCAGGGGAACGCCGCCGGGCTCGTCGTCATGGTGGCCGTGCTCTGCTTCATGCTCGCCTACTGCTGCTGGGGCGCCCCCTGCTGCCGCGGGGGCGCCGACGACTGCTCCGCGACGCCCAGCCGCGCCTCCACGCCCAACATCCTCCTCCTCCCGCACGGCCGCATCCTCCTCCTCGACCAGGTCGTCGTCAACGCCTTCCACCAGGAGCTCGGCCTCCACCACGAGCTCCCGCTCCCCAGGCTCCCGCCCACGCACACACAGATCCGCTACGGTAGGTCTTCACTTCTAGAATAGCTACTTAGGGGCATAGAGGAAAAAAAGGAGGCGTTTGTATCTTGAGGTTTGTTTACTCTGTGACGTAGGTCGTCACAATCTAAGCCAGCAAAATCCGGAATTCAAAGTATGAAAAACGGACCATAATGTCCCATTTTTTTGCTTAAATCAACTCATGATATAATTTCAAGCACTTTTTATAGAATGACTTTTTTCCATAAATTACACCATTTCCAAGAAAATCGATGATAAAAGTCGCTGTACCGACCTACGTCATCAAAAAAATCCAAGATGCCCGAAATGCAAACACCCCCTTTTTTTTCTCTATGACTTAAAGGAGACTAGGAATTGAGATGTTGCATGTGTGAGGGATTTGCGATTTGACTGTTGATTCTTATGTGAAAGTTCGCGAGAAACACTATGGTGCCACTGGTTTTCTCTGAAATCAACTCCCAAGCTCATAAAAAGCTCTCAAGTTGAGGCCAAAATGGAGGGGATATCTCACGTTATCCTGAGAGTCCACCTCTACATCAAGACAAACTCTCCATGCAAAGATAGGGAACAAATACATTAGCAGGGTTGCCGTGTTTTCAGTTTTGGAGTCTCCAAATAAAGTGGCAGCCCTGCAAATGTATTTACTCCCTATCTTTGCATGGAGAGTTCGTCTTGACGTACAAGTGGACTTTCAGGGTAGGGAGGGATATCTCCTCCATTTTGGCCTCAACTTGAGAGCTGTTCTTGAGCTTGGGAGATAATTTCAGAGAAAACCAGTGGCATTATCGTGTTTCTCGCAAACTTTTACATAAAAATCAACAGTCAAATCGCAAATTCCTCACACATGCAACATCTCCATTGTTTTATGGGGATGGTAAAGGCAAGACCAATCTAAACAGGTCACTCATTGCGCATGTTTTTGAAATCCACTCCCCCGCCCGGCCGTAACTCGGCGGCACCGCACCCAATCAGGGCCGGATTAAAGGGGTGGCCACATGGGCCGCGGCTAACGGCGTCAAATTTGGCAATTTTTTTTTTAAATGTATAGGTCTAAGAAAAGAATTACAAACGGGAAAAGGCAACAACATCTTTCATTTCCTGTGAGAATAGTAATTTCTAATTTTGTCGTTTTGCGGTGATACAAAAGACAGCACCTTTGATTAGTCGAGTTATGAGAGAGACCAAACACGCAGTTTGGCCTGGAGCGGTGCGGCGCAGAGAGCAATGATGACGAGGGCTTGAGATGAGAAGGAGAGGCCCTCGGCGCGGCGCGGCGGTCGGCATGTAACACATATTAACGCCTACAAGACTGCATGAATACTTCACGCATAGTGTCAAACACAGAGCGGTCAGCAGCGGTCGCCCTGTTACGCATAGCGCCTACAAGACTGCACGAATACTTCACGCATTGCGTCAAACACAGTGCGCTCAGCGGCGGTCGGCGTGAAAGGCATAGCGCCTACAAGACTGTAGGAATACTTCACGCATTGCGCCAAACATAGTGCGATCATCACGGCGTGGCGCGGCGAAGTTAAAATTACTAAACCACATTTGGACTGCATTTTGCAATTTGGACCTATAAATTCCGGCCCGGTTTAAAAACAACGTATGTGCCATTAGTTTCCCTGTGCACATAAGTGTTTTTTCAGATGAGCCAGAATTTATAGGTCCAAATTGCAAAATGCAGTCCATTTATGACTGTTCTTCCATAATTTTTTCGTTAATTTCTTATCAATGGAAGGCCTTGTCCACGCAGAGATAGGGTTACGGAACTTAACTTTCGCGCCAAGTTCCGTGAATTTTTGCTAGTAGTGTTGACACGGCTTCCGCAAAAAATGTGTCCGACATGAGTAAACGCGTCTTATGCACCCCTCTCCCTCCGGCACGTTCTTTTTATGCTTTTTATTGATATTTCAAAACGAATGAGAAGGGGGCGGGAAAATACAGGCGGCTTATGGGCAGTAAGCAGGACAATCCGGCCCTACATCCAGTACTACGTCATATTGGGTGCTTCCATAAGAAATACATTGCAGGCACTGAATACTACACTGGAAAAAAAAAACACATTGGATCTAGAGTCCAGACTCTTGAGCACATTAACAAGAAAAAGGACTCTTGATTCAATCAGATTTAAGCTTAAATCAAAAGGAAATCCGCTCAAATTAAGAGGCTTGGTTCTTGATTTGAGCTTAAATCTGACTGAATCAAGAGTATTTTTTCTTGTCGATGTTTTTAAGAGTCTGGACTCTAGATCCAATGTTTTTTTTTTTTTCCAGTGTACGTTACTACGCAGTAGTTACAAAACTCGTTCTCGGGAATGACTGACCTGTGTGGATTGGTCTTGGGTACCTAGGGGGCACTAGACAACAGTGACGGCTGGAAATGTGCCTCATTTTACCATGAGGAGACGAAGCTATCTTTCAAAAAGAAAAACTTCAATGTGGAAATTTTCGGTAAAAAAAACAAAACAAAAAAAAACTTCATGACAGAAGCTGCAAAAATTTTAAATTTGAATGTATATTTTTGAATTTCATTTTTTTTAAATTAACTTAAAACGTCAACTCTCAAGTATACTTTTCCACGCTGCTGTAGATAATGATCACAAAGATAGAAAAGCTTCGGCTCTAAATGAAAAGTTTATTCTCAAAACACCTTGGTGTTGCGTATTTTACATAATCTCCTACTAGTTCATAATTAGTATTACAGTGATGCCTTTTCATCATAATGTTCAAATACCCTGCTGAATGTCTCTACGCGGTCAGACCGTGGTAAAAACTGGCAAGAATCTGTGTTCCAAAATACCATAGACCTACGGCCGGCTGTAAGATTTCCAATAGATTCTATAGCCGGCTACACAATTTCTTATAGCCTTTTATAGCCGATGGCGATTAAGTAACTCACAGCCAGGCGATAAAGTGCATGCTAAACGTCACTAATTACGGATGCTAGGACTTAGTGAGTTTTTGGACCACTGCTCTCTTTTTGGGCCGTAGTATCTTGATTTATTTTTCGAGGAAAGCTCCGTACTTTTGATGGATGCCTGCCATTCCTAATATATTAGAGCGCCTTCAGTTTCGTATAATACTTTGCAATACCTCTGGTGTGAAATAGTTGCTTCAAGCGCCGTAGCACGCTGCGGTGCGGCAGGCGGGCATCCAGCGCGGAACGCGCATTGGCGCCTACAAACCTAACAGGGATACTTCACGCGTTGCGCAATGCGTGAAGTATCCCTGTTAGGTTTGTAGGCGCCAGTGCGTCCCCGCTCCGCTTTGTGTTGGGCTCTAATATATTTAATCTGGCGGAGTCAGCGTTATTCAACTCATGATTTTGAAATGTTTGCACATCCTGTATGGATTTTTCTCATTTTAATTGATAAAAAAAAATATGTATCAAAGGAAAATATAACGTGTGTTTTGTAAATATTAAGGTGGTTCCGTATCAAACTTAATGATTTTCAAAGCACACGAATTTCTACACAATTTCTTATAGCCTTTTATGATCGATGGCGAAAAAGCAACAGCCAGGCGATAACGTGTAAAGCCCGGCTATAGGAACTATAGCCCGGCTGCATAATTTTTTATCGCTTCGTATAGCCCGGCCGTATGATTTTCTCCGCACTCTACAGCCAGCTATATGATTTTCTGTAGCCTTCTTTAGCCGGCTATAAGAATTCCTATGGTATTTTGAAACGCAGCTCTTAGGTATCGCCAATTTTTACCAGGGGATAGCTGATTGCTTGGCAGCTCTGAAGTCACTACCATTAACGATTTCAAATAAGGATGAATTTTGGTTTCAGATGATGCGCCGAACGCTCGCCGGGCGCTTCTCCAGTATAGAGACACGTCCATCGAAACAGACTCGGACAAAGATAGCGAGTTGTCGCCTTCAAACCAAGGGATACCGCCGCCGACATATGACTCACTGTTCACGAGGACCGAGTCCTCTTCTAGCCAGTCCTTCCCACCTCCGTACGAGGAAATCACACGACTGAATATTGATGTAGATAAAAATTCCGTAGCCGAGAGTAGCGTTTGACGGTAGAGGGAAATTTTCAGCGCTGCTGCATTTTCGGAGCTTGCATAGATCCAGGCACAAATAGCATATTTTTTATTTTTCTTAGAAATGGGTTAAAATGGAGCTGGGGGGAGGGATACTTGTAGACAAAGAGGAAAATGAAGACCTATGTAAGTAAAAGTAATCTGGGTTTGTTGAGTTCAAATTGGTCGTTTCTTTGGAAAATTAAGCACATTCCACCGATTTCCTTCTCGGTGAACTCCGAACTTAGTTACGTTTGTAGAGAATTCTAAAAAATAGAGAATTTTTGATGAAAACTGTCAAATTTTAGGAAAGTTTGAGCTATTTTTTGGTTCAGCGAATGTCGTTGCCAGCCTAACAGTGAATAATAAAGTGCTCAATCTTGAACATCATATAAGCAATTCTTGGCTTTGATCTTTTACAATATCCTCGAGTATGCATAGGTAGGTATTCTAATGAGGCAACCGGAGGACTGAACTTACCTTTCAATCAGAGGCTACCAAGAAAATCATTCCGTATGGAAATAAATGTAAAGTTCTTGGTTTTCCGATTTTACGAAGAGAATTATACATTCGACAAAAGCATATCAATGAACAATTACTCTTAAGAATTACGACAACACCATTTTTAATCTTGGCCTTTCGTTCAAGGGGAAGTGTGGAGGAGCCAAATTCGGGTGAGAGAGAAAGAGAAAACAGAAAGGAACTGAGTACCTAGGCAATTTTCTATGAATTTAAAGTTCCTGAATGTTTAAGATTTGGAACACGATAATTCCTGGCATTTTCAATAGGCATTTTTATAAAAATATTTCTTAAAGGGCACTATGACCTCGTCTCCTTAGTGAAAAAAAAAAAAAAATTCAAAATTTGCAGGCTCATTACAGAGAGACATAAATGTACGGTTGTTTGACAGCCAATTTTTAGACTTTTCACTGCAGGGTAAAATTGCCTGACATTTCTAAATTTTTCTCAATGTTTTAAAAACGCACTGATAATTTCCAGACCCTGCAACAGGGTTTTTAAATACTTTCAAAAGGAGAAGGGAGGAATTTAGTAGTCCTAGTTAAGGCATCTTGAAAAAAGTTCCGTACACATTTTAATTGATGTGGTTAATTTCCCTGAATAAGATTCTAAGCTAAGAAGCTAAAAACTGAGAGTTAAAAATTTCATTATCTTCCCTGCTTCCTGCAGTAATTTGAATCAAAAGGCAACTCCACAAATCCCTGTTTCGATGGCCAATGATTTTAATACATAAGGTTGTATATTTTCAGCTACGTACGTAAGTGTAAAAGTTTTATTTTTTAGATTTTATCACTAGAATACGTTATGCATAATAATGCATGACTTTAGTTATAATCGTCATGGGAGCATTGCCCTCATACCTTTCTATTGATCAAAAGTAGTTTCCGATGCTACCCTATTCCAAGGTTGGCTTATGGCATTGATTGGCATATGCATTTACATTTTTTTGTCAAAAAAGGGGGGGAGATATGTTCTGAAAGGAGGAGTATGCTGCCATGCTAAGAGAGAACGCTATATAAGCCTTCAGACATTGCCATTTTTCCTTCAATATAACACGAATTTTCCTGGAAACCTATGAATTTTTTCTTCCAATTTTTCACAGAATTTCATTTGAAATTTGATCTAAATTATCTAAAAATTTCAAGGAAAAATATTCATATCTTCCCTCAAAAATTCATATTTCATCGCTGAAAATGTAGCAACATTCAAATGTTCGAACAGCGTTTTTTCTTGGCAAGAGAGTATAGGAGAGATCTCTGCCTTAAGTCCATTTTGGTAGCCCTTGGAATTTCCCCAAATGAGGAAATAAAATAAATATAAAACGAACAGCGTTTTCATGACAATTATAGCAATTGCTTTGCAATTGCAACTACTATAGCTTGTTTCTCACTTGTGTTCATTATTCAATAAATATTTTAATAAAATATTACTTCCTCTTGAGAAAGCATACAACATTGAAGAATATATTAATGATAGAGGGATATGTATTACGAATTTACTTACATCATATTAATTTATATTGGGTGTTTTGATTAGGTGGCGATAACTTAAAAGTTTTTCCACCCGTTGACACAAATAAAAAAAGTTCTGTAGACTAATGTCCAAAAAAGCAATCATTTGCTAAGGGCAATAAATTAAAAGAAAGCAATGTCTTGAGAAATATTTAATTTTTCTGTAAAAAGTACCTACTTAAAAAGCTGCCATTCATTGATTAAAGAAAAAAGATTGGCATCATTCTGTTTTCCGATTTTTTTATCCTCCGAGATCTAAAGTATTATTTATTCATCTTGATGAGTGAAATAAGATCTTCTAATTATTATGTACAACATTCTCAAAATCCTGAGCCAAAGTAAAAAACTTGACTAAAAAATATTTCCGACCCAAATCTGCAAGAAAGAAAATCGACGGCTTGGAAATTATATTGGCCTCGTAATGTTTTAAAAGAATTCCTACACTGAAAACAGTTACTCAAGTTTCTTCTGATTGCAATTAACTAATTTTTTTTAACTTTGATGAGGAAAAGTCCTCCTCTTATTTTAAGTAACTTCATATGTAGTTAAAGGTGATACTCCCAACCTTTCCTCTCTTCCCTAAAGCTTATTTTTTCTCTAAGCTAATTGTAAGTAGATACATGCCTCCTATATGATTACTATTTTCATGATTACAATTGATGCATATTTACCTTTGTGTGTTTTTCAAGCGCTATTATCTTTTTCAACAGAATTTGTTAATTTTAATAATTCAAGAGTAAGAATTTGTTGTCCAGAACACTGCTTGTTCAGAATAAAAATAAATTGAAAAAAAAAATAACCCTTGAAGTTTTAGGACTATTAATTTTTCCTGTGGTTAAAGCAACTGCATAAAACGCTGCGAAATTTGGAAGCTGCGCAATGATATGAGGCTACACGATAAGAAGTCAACATTTACTCAGAGAGCACGAGCAATTTTTAAAATCATGATGTAATTGTAGATATAAACCTCAATGTAGAATTAAAATGACTTTATTAAAAAAATAACAATTATTTTCCTTGAAAACCTAACAAATAAAACACTTGATATAGAAACGTTTTGGTTGACTTAATAAGATCAAATATACATCTTAGATGTTGTAATATTCGGGCATTTTTATTTTTTATTTTCCGTTCCTCACTGGCATCGAAAAGTATGAGAAAGGCGATAATATTTTCTTATAGATAGACATACTATATTTATTGCCTGATATTACCATGATATTCTCAAAAAGCATGGTAGGAAATTTTCAAGCAATCACCTCCCATTACATTAAAGTACGTAATGTTGCCTTCCGAAATACAAAATTCTGACATTTTTTTTGTATTGGAATTTTTGGATACTTAGATCAACACAGTAACATTAAAAAATAGGGGTTTAAAATTGACCTAAAAAAACTTTTGATGTTCATTAATCATCTCAGACGACCATCTGAGCTCATCAAATTTAAGGCATTGCTAGCAACAAATAATGTCAAAATGCCCTAATTTATCTTTATCTTAAAAGATTCCCTTGCAATTTCTTCTTTTATTTCATTCAATTGGAAGTTGCCCAAGAAATGAACTTTGATTTGCTGGGCATTCTAGATATGGAAAAACTAAACACAGTTACCAACATCTCATCATATCACAAGCTTTTGAGGGAGCCTTATTTCTCAATCCCATTGAAAATTGTACTATGTTGCTGGAGATGGTTTAATAGGGTACATTTTTTTGGACTTAAATTGATCACTGGTGCAGATGCAAAATATGACCATGGCATTCGGATATACATTTTTAATGCTTTTTAAAGCAATGGCATATACACTACCTGTACATCTATCGATGATCTAATCATAGAGTATTTGTTCTGAGAAGCCATACCAGGTAGTGCTATCATCAACCCAATTATGGATGCAAATTCTATTGCTATTTGTTGCAACTGAATGCAAAGTGTTTTGATAACCAAGTAGGAAAGAAGAACCAAGAGACCCTGGCAGTGACAGCATTAAATGAAGGAGAAACTACCTTAAAATTTTATAGTGGAGCACTTGTCATGACAAGGACCGTACGTTTGTTCCTTAAAAATTATTGGAGCGCCTCAATTGTGATACATGAGAAACATAACAGTTGTCTCAAAAAACATCACAAGGGTTGAAACCCTCCATTCCTAAATCTAAGAAAGGCAGCATGGAATAAACACTTGAGCATGGCTATTGGCAATTCCTAATTTGAACTATGATGGAATTAATTTGTTTATCCAACTCCATACCTCTTCCAATTCCCTCGTCTTCATTTCATGCAAAGTGTTCTTCAGCACTTTGAACTCGACATCGACATTGTGCGACTTCAGTTTCTCCACGGTGGCTTCGCCCCACTTCAGAGGGACCAGCTCATCTCGGTCACCATGGTAGTGCAGTAGAGGAGGAAAGCGGGAACCTTCCTTCTCGCTGAGTGCCTATGGAGAAAATTCAGTTTGTGAGAGAGGACCTGAGAGGAACACGAAAATGCTACAAAAATGAGATTTGTGGTAATAAATATTTTGGTCTAGCCTCTAGCATCATGGAAATTCTGAACTAAACTTCAGGAAGCTGTTCACTTGTATGATTTATACAAATGGATTGCATTTTGCAAAAAGGAACCACTAGCATTGCAATGTTGCTAAGATTGTGCAACTTCTTTTGTCTTGGAGGAAAAACCCAATTATCCATTCATAATTTCTATTTTACTCGCTAAAAACTGTACATTTAAGAGAACAATTACCATCTAAATTTCATAGTTTTTCACGATTTCCGCAATTTTATTGCAAAAGATGAAGTTGCACAATCTTAGCATCATTGCAATGCTAGTGGTTCCTTTTTGCAAAATGCAATCCACTTGTATGATTTATACAAATAGCTCTGAGGGTTTTCAAATTAAAAAGAGACAACTCAGGGTTGCCACAGAAGCTTGCTCATGTTGTTGAAAAGCTTGATTTGATTCAAATACACTCTGGTTTTCTCAAAAGTGAGAAATTCCGACTTTTTTGCAATCAGTGCTACAGAAAAACAATAATATCTGGGATGAGAGTATTTTTAAAGCGCAAATCGTGTTCTGCATACAATTTTGAAAAGGAAACATACCTAGGTAAATCAGAATGCTTAAGTTTGCACCTTGCGAAAACATCACAAAACTTAAACCAAGTTAGGCTTGCGTTAAGAATTAAAAAGCAAATAACAAAGAAAGTCACACACACACAAGTTAAATGAAAACTCACTGTAAAAACAGACGAATCATTGTTCAAGAATGCAGACAGCGAGAAACAACCAGCAACCTCTTGCAATCGTTTGTACGTTAGATGCATTGCCAGAGCTCCTCCCATGGAGAATCCACCTAGATAAAAGGAAATAAAGTTAATGATAAAAAAAGACACTTGATTTATTTCCTGTGGTACAATGCAGGATTTGCCACTTAAAAACACTTTGTGGTAGATTTTAAGACTGGTGATTTAAAATTTTACAGAACTGCAATTTCTTCTTTCTTTTTGCTTTAAAAGATATTAGGTATCCTGAAAATTGAAATGAAAATTCTGTTACTGACACCTTTAGCCATTTAATGGATCTTAAAAGCAGGGATATAAAGACTTTTCAATCATGTGATCATGATTGCATGGCCACTTGCAGAGGAAAATGGGTAAAAAACATTCAAATTATAAATTCTTGATCGAGGCGTTTGGTTATTTTTGAAACTTCAGGAAATTTACTGCACTTGAAACATCATGAAGTTCCCATGAAAAAGGAATCATAAAATTGAAATGTAGGTATTATTTTGCTTTCCCTCTAGCAATTTAATACACTATGGGCAGAGGTACAGAAATTTTTCGACCATGTGGCATGTAAAAATAGGAAGGCCCCGAAAACAGGTTTAAAAGAATTTAAACCTGCGCTCGCATGCAAAAATTGCGAGTTTCCTATGGAATTGAGGGGAAAATCTCATCCTTTTACAAAATTGCACAATTGAAGCAAAAGAAAGGTCATAATTTTAACAATTTTGAGGAAAGAGAGATTTATCCAATGGGGAGGTCAATTTGAAAAATGAGAAGGCTAAGAGCGTTCTTCTTTCGTGCATTACATTCTGTGAAAACTTTCTTACAAACCTATGATGACATTTTCCAGGGCAATGTCTTTAGCCACTTCTTTCTTTATCAGCTCTACAACTTGATCGGTGATGGAGTCAAGAGTTTCTTTGTCTTCCTTTGCTTCTGGGGTGATGGATTTTCTATCAAACCACACATTTCGCATCTGTAGGTACATAAAAATAATAAACATCCTCAAAAATTAAAATAAAATCAATTGCCAAAGACATTCCAATGAGATAAAATTGATTTTGAGTCATTTTTAATGTCATCTTTTCGGTTGTTTATAGTGTGGGAAACCTTAGAGGTAAAACCATGCGTCTTTAGTATATTCTCGGCAAGAGATGTATCATTTGTATGGACATGGTTTCAAGTAAAAATAGGGCGTTTTCTGAGGATACAAATATTTAATGACATTGAGACTGCAATAAAGCATACCACTATTGCAGTGTTTCAAAATCTCTGCTCCTGTCTTGTTTTATACAAGGAGACCAAACCGGCACCATGGCTGGAAATTTTCAGAGAATACTCTTAATCAACAAATTTTTCAAGCTATGACATTTATGTCGTAGTTTCTTGTGTTGAAGATTACACCAAGGAATTTTTCTGCAGAAATTATGAAAAATCAAGGAAATAATTAAGAATAAATTAACTATATAGAATGCTGGACACATTGATTTAAGCTACAAAATGACTCTTCCAGGACTCACTTCACCTCCAACCGCTGAATAAGATCTTATTGGAGCAGTGGGAAAGTAAATATTTGCATGTGGTAGGGCAGCTTTATCTTGCAATAGGAATTCAACCCAACTTTTGGCACCTCTTCCAGTATCACCTATAAGGATCAAAGAACAATATTAGACGAGAGCTAACAGTATGAGTAAGTTTTATCTCTGGGAACTAATCTCATAATGTAGATTTTCGGTAAAAATGGGCCGTTCGGAAATAATGGAGCTGGCACATTGTAAGTTGAGACAAACATCAAAGTATTATTAATGTCACCACTCATCGATGGTGCCATCTGACTGCCTGTATTAACCTGCTGAGTGGTGCTAATTCAGAGCTAATCAGAGATTGATGTTTGTCTCAACATACATTGCGCTGGCTCTAATCATGATGGATGAGACAGAATATGAGACATTTAATTGGATAACTACTTATATTGAGCTCAGAGAATTGAAAAATTCTGTGTAGCCTTTAAGAAGAATCAGTTGGTGAGAAATTAAGAAAGAGCATCGATGAGTAGGTACCTGAACCATGAAGGAATACTACGGCAGCTGTTGGTTTATGTCTGGCTGCAATGACTTCAAGCACTGAGCTCATTATAGCTGCCATTTTTGGTGAGGAAAGCTTTGAGTTATTAGAGTCTGACTTAAAATGTTAGAAAACTTCTGAACTAGGACAATTAATTCCGACTTCAAGAAGGCAGAAAGAGGGTCTCTCAAAAGATCTCGAAGTTAGCCTCGAGATGAGTGGGGTGGCAGTTTAAATACAAAATATCAACCAAAAAAATTGAATGTGTGACAAAAAGAGGCGGACATAAACACACTAAGAGAACTAATTAACATAATTGATGTCGCCGAATACAGGCAGACAAAAGAAATTAATTAGAAGCGGCACCAAACTGATAATCACCACTTTTGTTTATAACCTAATCTTGTCTCATGATGATAAGGAGGGAAAAAGTCAAAACGCGAAATTTCCCATTTGGAAAAATGGAACTGCAAACTCAAGAAGTCCCGAGGATAGAAGCGACAAACGTCGCATTAAATAGAGATTTACATTGAATCATATTTAAAAACAACATTTTTCTGGTATCTTTAAAATCTAACAGGCTGAAACTGGATAAGTAACATACTTTCGCCCTGAAAAACTTCTCTGGGATATCCCTTGATTGTAAACCTGGTAATCAGGGTAAGATGGCGTCCAGGCAGATGTGACGTCATTTTCCAAAATGTCAATTGTTCGTGACATGTAATCTTTCATAATTTTTACAGACTAGAAATGTTGAAAAATACTTGATTTTCTCATGGATTTTAGTGAATTCTAATTGCGAATAGGCGAATCTCTTCTGTCTTGCTGGAACTACGAAACCGCCCTCGGTCGAATTGTGTAGGATCTTCCCTAACTTCATCGTATCCTACCCTGGTACTTATAACTTTTGTTTCCTGTTTATCATAATTTTGTGAAATCCTCCTCGTAGTAGCTTGTTCTTACTGATCACTCTACATTCTAACAGTACAATCCAATAACAATCGTAATGCTGCTGGAAATGTAAACGATGATTCCAAGCAGATTGGTCATGTTAGTTATGTCAATGAGTGCAAGACTGCCTGCGGATTATCGCCGTGGAGCATTTCAGTTTATTCATGTCTAAATGCATTTGCAACCTGTAATGGCACAATACCATCGCACTCGTTTTCTGCAACTCATTTCAATCACAGCCTAAAACAAACAGTTGGCCTCCTCCTCATCATACATTTCTAAGGTCCTAAGTTTGAGGCTGTCTGATCTCGCTGTGCAATTTTTTACGAAAGACTTATGTATTAACCCCACCCAAAAGTACGCCTATCAATGCTTGAATCTGTGAGACAAGCATGCACAATGTTTGTCAATCATAAGATACTCATAGTAATTCTAAATCTAGAATCATGAATTTTGATCAACCTATTTCAGAGAGCTTAACCTTAAACTTTCCTTTAACCTCAACTACAGCCTCTATGCACTAAAATCAGTGAGGTGGAACTTGGATAACCATACAATTTCATCATAGAAATGACTCAAGTAATGTAAGCAATGTATAGAATCGCAAAATATGTGTCGTAGTAAAGAAACTCAAGTTGCAAATGTCCCTATCGCTTTGTAAGTACCGCCCAAAGACATAAAGACGGAGTGCTCGTAACCAAAAGCACGGGGAAAAAGTGAAGCCTGGTTTGGCGGTGGGTGCTTGTGTGAGTGTGTAAATGAGCGCGGGAATCCATGGCGGCAAACGGAAATTTGATTTTAACTTGTCCTCTTGATTTTTCCACTTTTCTTCTTCGAAACGTATTTAAAATGCCTAAAACGAATATATTAAGAAAGTTGGGACTGCGTCCTATTATAATACATCTACTTTTGCTCGGTAACAGGCAGTAATCTCAGATAAAGTTAGTTTTTCTTCTGCTCATGGTGGGTCTGCCGGTTCAAACAGGCTGTTACAGTCGTAGATGACCGTTACTCCCAAATGAAATTAATCGGTCGACGATGGACCAAAACTAACCTAAAGTTATAAAAATATGAGTGTGTAAGTGAATTTGGGCAAAAATCAACCTAAAATACTTTGTTTCCGCAATTTTATTTAGTTCCCGCCCTACATTTGAATTTCAAACTTGTCCCGATTTCGCTGCCAATCCTCTTGCCAATAGTAGAGGTGATTGAAAAGAAGCTTCATTTTTTGCTTTTAGCGCTCCGTCTTTATGTCTTTGGTACCGCCTGTGCCTCTAGCAAAATGTTCTAGTTGTATTTTTGTGAACTTTCACCGAGAGAGTCATAAGGTTAGTCTACTATTTTTGTTTTTAAGCCAACCAGTCATGTTTCTTCTTGGAAATTCCGAAAAATTTGGGTAAAGAAGCTCTGATGACAAAATTTAAACATATAAACGGCGAAGAGCCTATCAGTCCAGTTAGTTTTAGAACACCTTGAGTTGCCAGAAAACTTCCCAAGCACATATGAATCACCTGCGTTCTCAGTGGGGCTTTAACAAATCTCTGTCTACGTAGATTATCAAAGTATATTGTGAAAGAAGAAAGGCTGCTATTGATCTAAATGATTATGTGAAGCTACCCTATTTTGAAACGTACAGTAGCTATAAGTTAGTAGGCTTTGGTTAGCAATTTTGACTGCGTTTTTAAATCACAATTGGACCCATATAGTACATGATAGTTTGTTTTGACAAAAAATTTGCTTTGTTTTGTTCTATTTCATTCATTGAATACTATACACTGTCTGCCTCTATTTTGCAGGTGAGACAAGATGATCAATCTCACAGTGAAGACTTTGGATTCCCAGAATCGCTCTTTCTCTGTGCCAGATGAGGTAAGATTCACCACTACTACTACTACTCTTGCTACTCAAGTTAGTATTTAGACAGTAAATGCTGTAGCTAGAAAAGTTTTCCGGGGAGGGGTGAGGCTCCTTGGAAGACCAGCAATTGAATTGATTCTCCATGAAATCAAATTCAAAATGTAATTTGTTATTTGTTGATGATAATACTCTCCCCTCAAATGTAGAAGAAAATTTCTAACATTGATTTATAGACTCTTTTCTGGTTTAATCTAACAGTATCAACTTTTTTTTCTTCTTTTTTTCAAAATTTTGTTCAAGATTTTTTTAAATTTCCACGTGTACATTTTATTTTTAATTGAAGTATTCTTATTTTTTTCCTTGTGTTTGATAATTTGCAGTACACCGTCGAGCAGTTCAAACAACACATTGCAGAGGCAGTCTCTATTCCAGTGGAATCTCAAAGACTCATCTACTGTGGTCGAGTTTTGGATGATGAGAAAAATCTTACCGATTACAGTAAGTTGGACTCTTTTCAATGTTTTTCATTTTCAGTTAGGGTTTAATAATCGTCAATGTAGTCCATCATAACCTTGCAATGTATATGAATTATTATGAAGGTTAAGCAAATTCAAGTATTATGTAAGGTACTGAAATAAGGCAGGGGGGTCTGATCGTTAACTTGCCTAATGGAGTCATATGAGGAGAGAATGGGTTATATACCTACCCTTGAAGTCATTTAATCATTCAATCTTAATGTTTTTACCGTCTAGCAATCACAATTTATTTGTTGTAATTTTGCTTGATGGTTTATTTTTTTTTTTTTTTTTTTTTTTTTTTTTATGAATAGTGGTATGTAAAGTGCTCTCGGAAATTATTGATGAATGTTGTTTCATCTTTTATTGCTTTAGCTTGAAAATTACTCCTGATATGAGCTTGTTGAGTAGAGATAGGCACTGAAAATGTTTCATCCTTGCAAGCATATTTTTATTCTCCTTGAACTGCTTTTATTTCAGATCTTGATGGTAAAGTCGTTCATTTAGTGGAACGTTTGCCTCCGTCACGGCTCGGACCTTCGTCTAATTCAGATGGAAACAATGACGGTCCATCCACCCGCGGTTCTCGCGACTCTCGAGCAGACCGAATGCGGGCCTCAGCTTTACGCAGAACTCGTCTGGGTACCCAAGCTAATGGCGGCAACGCTATGTATTTGGGAGCGATGGCCATCGATGATTTAATGGATGGGCAAGGTGTGTAACCATTTATTTTTCGAAATTCTGAACTATTTTCTAAACCTTCCTTTTTAGTCTCATTACTACTATCAGCTGAAAACTGATTTTTATTTTTTTATCTAGTATAATAGTATGGAGCTCATATCAGAGGACTTTAAATTCCATTCCTCCCTTTCTATATCATATCATCATTTCATTTCATATTGTAAGTAAACAAGGTCTCTGTCTTAATTAAGAACCTGGAAAGTCAGAGAATTTATGGTGACCTGAAGAAGTCATGGCATATATAGGGAATGGGTCAGTTGCACTGGTCACAGAATCAAGTTTTGATGCTTGATTCTTGTAGATTAGCAAAAAATAATAAGATCTGTCCAAACCGCAACTTTCTACCTTCCATATCACTTAACTGAGAAATCGCTCTTTGAAAAGTAAGGTTTTCGACGTCATCCACTGCGGCAGTGACATCCTTGGTTTTTCTTTTCTATTCAATCAGTGATGCAGAGGGTGCAACGCAAAACTTCAACTACTTTAAACGTTAAAAAATTCAAGAAACAGACGGATTCGCACTTTAAAGATCTTCTCATCAGGAGATAACGCACTGGCCGTGAAAAGATTAGGCGGTCAGTCAGTTCACCTCAGTTTGTTTACGTTTAACGTCACTGAAGTTTCGCGTTACACCTTCTGCAGCACTGATTGAACAAAAGAGAAAGAAACCAAGGGTGTCACTGCTGTGATGGATGACATCAAAAACCTGACTTTTCAAAGGACGATATCTCAGCTAATATTGAACGTAAAAAGTCTAAACTTTGAAATACTGTTTCTCTCTGTTATTACTTAATTACCTTTATAGATTTGGGCTTTTTTTGTCGTTTGGCAACGGTCATGATCTTCTAGGTTGGTGATGTTGATTTGGAGAAAATCCTGTGATACTATATTTGTTAATGTCTTTCCTGAAGATTGTCCTCTGTAATTTTCCAGGATTGAATATTCCTCAGTTGGGTGGCCGTAGGCTGCTTCAAAGCCGTTTTGACCTCGCAACTTACATGGCTGAACAGTTAGATCAAGTGGTACACCGTCTAGAACAAGCCTCAAATCCAGATCAAGCCTCTGCCCCAGAACAGCCGGAGCCCCCGACAGCCTCTGAATCGATCCCACAGAACTCTGACAACACAGTTACAGGGCCTGATCCTTTGGACCTGGCTAGTTTTCTTGTCCATGCTACAGTGGCAGGAGCTTTTGGTGGTGATGCAACTGTTGAGCTTGAGATTAGACCGGAAACGGAAGATCAGTCCCAAGATGGAACATCGCAGAATGAGACGGCTGATAATGATAATACCAACGCAGCCAGTGGCCTAGGGAGTAGCTCCGGGCCCTCGTCAGCCTCAAATGAAAATGAAAATCAGTCATCGTGAGTAGTCTTCAATTTATTAATTTTACTTTAATCCAGTCACGGCGAATTGAAGTAATCAAAGGAGGAAAACTGCTACAACATTGTGTTGTTTGCATGACTGGTTTCTTCTTGCAGAAATATTTTCTCATCCTAGTCTTGGAGGTCATGAAAGAAAGTAATAAATAGGTGCAAAGCCACCGGCAATGAAAGCGTATTTTTGTTTTTGATCGGTTGAACCGAAATGGGTGGATCTTATCAGTTTCGTAGTTTGTCTCGTCGCTATCATACTTTTTCGGAACAGCATCGGGACTCATCAGACGGAAAGAAAGTGAAATTCTCGCAAACGTTGGAGCCAAAATATAATCCTACAAAACGTAGGGTTTAGAAATGACCTGATAAAGATGATGGCATCCGACCAGCATTAAGTCGGAAAGTCTAACCTCAAATGTTTACCAACCCGATTATGATCTCGCCGCCACTTTCGCAGCATTTTGGCTAGACTGATCATCAACGAAAATATGCTTCAATCAGCACAAAGCACTCTCTGCAGTGGCATTTGGAATTTATACATGATTGTGTTTTCCTATATTACCATCCCAATTTTTCAGAGGAAGAGCAATATGATTTCTTGTGGTTGACAGATTAATTCCTTTGTTTCAGTTCATCAAGCTCACAAAGGCGACCCCAAGCAACCCCTGCAAACTTAGGCGCATTGTTACAACGTGTTGAAGGTATCAATGACCGATTCAGACCCTTCTTGCGGCAATTCACAGACACCATGGTGAATGATCCCACTCTCCCTGCAACCGTGAGTATATTACCGTAATGTTTAATAGTAATTGTTTGTTTGGTCAAGCTTTGCTGGTCCAATTTCATCCTTGACATGAAATTATTGATGTAGTTCATGGAGAAGGCTTATGAATTCTGTGTTTTAAAACTTTTCAAAGAGTTTTTTTTTTGTGATTTATTAATGTCATCATTACTCTGATGCAGCTACAAGCTACTATAATTGAAAGGAATTATCGTCAGAACTTTCATCAAGTTCAGTGGGCAAGGAAACTTTTTAATCAACTTGAGAACTAATTTTGACCCCCTTATACCATCTCTTTTTTGAATCTTAATCTCTGAAAGAGCAAGACGTTGTTGAATGACATGATTGAAAGTGATTTATTAATTCACAAACTGTGTCCTATTAATTTGTTTGTTAAAAAATGGGATTTAGTAATCCGTATGAAAAAGGGAAAAACCCACTAAAAAATGTGGCCTGAACTTAGATTAAATTTTTATCAGAGTTCAAAATTTGAGCTCTAACAAGTATCAGTATAAGACTGAGGTGGGAGGGTGTTCAGTATAGGTAGGTGCACTGGGATATTAAGCTGGGATCATGCCAAGAGATCTATACCTTTTTGGGTTTTATTAGACCTCACCTGTAGATTACACTGGTCAATGAATCCAGCTTAGCATCCGGCAAAATCCAAGATGGCATCGAAATGCTGTCATGAATGAATACTCATCAGAGCTCAAAGTTTTTACTCTAATTGAAGTGTTTGAACTTTTGGGCTGTGCTCTCTCCGTTGAATATAGTGGACCCTACACTATTTTACCACCTTGTCTCTGAAAGAGCGTATTGTCTTAAACCTGAAATGCGTAAATGTACTGTTTTCAGATAGATGTTTGAAACCAAACTATTGGTTTCTTTGCTACCAAGCGAATTTGCAAATGAAATGTTCCACACATTCATTTCAGAAATCGGTAGTTGCTTTGATGTGGATTGCTGATAGCAATAAATCATTAAAAAGGCTGCACCACTAATATTAACAGTACAAGAGGGTATAATTGAACATTTTGGTAATGATAGTTTAGTCAGGCTCTAATTTTTGCTTTATTGAACTTTTTTACAGGGTGAAAACAGTGTTGAATCCTTGCAGCGTATAATGGATGGAGTTAGTGAAGGAATGCATTTCCAAGGTCATCTTCAACATGCAATCAGTGAGCTCATGTATGACCTTTCCGAATCACCTCCCAGGTCCTTGCGATGCAGACCATTGCTCATTCAACAGCCAGCAGTTTTTCAGAGTACAATTCCAATCCAGGTAAGCATATGCACATGGTTGAGCGTCTAAAACAGTTCGTTTTTTTCATAATTGCCTATAAATCATTGCCATGCCATCAGTTCAGTGCTATAAAAAGAACAGCTCAAAATTGACTTCAGAAAATATTGTGTGAGTAGCAGCATAATATACTGTGTTTAACATAAGGCTGGGAACCTCGGGCCAGTCAATTAATTTAATGCTATTTTTCATTTTGAAAGAGGGACTATTTTGTCCTCTCCACAATCCTCCAACCCAAGAACAACCCAACATTGGTCCCTACAACTGCTGTGCTAAGGAAGAATGCTGTATGAGCCATCAGGCGATGCCAAATTACTTTTGATAAAACACGAATTTCCTGGCAAAATTTTGAATATTTACCTTCCGATTTTTCAGATAATTCTGTTCGCAATTTCGCCTTAAGTTCCTGAAAATTTCAAGGGAAAATATCAGTAACTTTCCTCAAAAATAAACGTTTTATCGAAGGAAATTTGGCAACTCTCGAATGTTCATACGGCGTTTTTCCTCAGATTACTGCTCAATTATTGATGGTGTCAAACTCAAACTGCAATTAAATTTTCAGGCTGTCATTCCAACCAGGAACGCTCCATCATCCCAGAACCAGAGCACCTCTGCTCCGGAAGAAAGTAGAGCGCAGGCGGCAGAAAGGGATGCTGATGACGAAGATTCTGCAGACCGAGAAATGGAGATTGAAGTTGACGGAGGGGATAGCGCCGAACCAGAGCTGGTAGCTGTAGCAGAGCCGCCAGCCTTCCTTACAAATACTCCATCCCCATCGGAAACACAACCAGCTGGTAAATGTAACTTCTAACTACAGTTTGGGAGGCCTCTGAAACCATTTTAAAGATCTGTCTTCTTACCTCAAGTAGGTAACACAAGTTTTGTAATCAGCTCTAAGCTGCTTCTTTGGCATGTTTTAGTTGAACTTTGCCACCGAAGAGATGTTCTCTGAAAAAATAAGCCTCTAATCAAGAGCCCGTATCAAGCTACAACCCTTCAGGCATTGAGCACCTAAAAATTTCTGCTTCAATCCTATCTCTCTACCCTCACCCGCCCTCTGTGGGACGGTGGCGGTTGGATGTCATAGAATGCCAGGAAGTGCTTTTAAGCGACATGTATGTATCAATGAACCTCATCCTGAAACCATTTTTGAAACTAACAAATCTGTCTTTATTAGATACTGCTGCCAATGGTGCGAGCAGCACAAATACTACTTCGGCTCAGAATCAGAACCAATCAAGCTCATCTAGCTCAAATTCCTCAACTTCGTATCGCAGATCCAGAGTGAATTTTCCAGGAATCTCCGGAAGGCAAGGTGGACGACGCTCCGGGCTTTCCTCTCTCATTCCTAGTAAGTTTATTTATTCCTCTTATCTGACACAGGCTCTCGTTTTACTTATATGTGAATCAGGAAACATGTAATTTGTACCTTTTTTTTTTTTTTTTTTTTTTGTGAAAGGAAAGATAATTTATTTTTGATAACATTCTTGATATTGTATTGGTATCGTTTCATCTTTCACTCTAGCACTTTCCATATCAAATCTGCCGCATGCACCCCACAAACCAGATCAGGAAAGAGGATCATGGAAAAAAGTGGAAGTCATCAGAAGTAATCATAAAAAATCTGGAAAAATAACCAAGGATTATTATCTACAAATTAAAAAGTGGAATACCTCGTGCGACTAATTATATTTCGAGAAATTCAAAAACATACCTGGAATTTGCAATTTCATCATTGAAGTTTTGTAAAAATGTGTGGATGCATCATTTCATTAGTAATTGTCACATTGGGAGTGGTCTTGATTCTATGAAGTTGACATCTCTTTAACCTTATTGTTGGGAAATTTTTTAAAAATTTACATCTTGTCATGGGCTGCTCAGTTTTCAACGCCTCATTGTTTTGTTTTTCTCTCCTCTTCTCAGACATGTCATCCTGTTTCGACCCATTCTTGCCCTGCAACTCACATCACATCCGTGAGAGACGCCGCAACTACTTCTTCCCTCCGGGGGCGGCGATCGGCCGAATAACAACCGTCACAACTGCAATTCCGACTACAGCAATCCCGGCAACGGTGGAGGTCACAGCGACAACCGAGAGTCAAGCCTCGGCCCAACAGCCAAACCAAGGCTCCGGAAACCAGGGCACGCAGGATGGTGCGACTCAAGGTGGGTCAGCTGAATCTGATCAGAACGCGCAAGGAAGGTCAGGAAGTGTCAGATTGAGGTTTTTCGAAGATGCCATGTCGCGATTCAACTGTAAGTTAAATGTAGCACTCCTTGAAAATTGGAATGAGAAGGAAGATACCGGGAAGTTCGGCCAATTTATTGACTGTTCCAAGTTTAATTTTTTACCGCGCCAAGACTTAGGTCTAGCAATTCAGTTTAGTGAGTTCATCTCCAAATTTTAGCACCTAAAAAAGATGCCAGCCCAAGTAACTTTAAAATTGTGTTGGAACATGTCAAATGTTAGAGTAATAATTTTCCTTCTCTTTTCATGTTTCAAGGGTGTTGTTGTAGGGAAATGGTTATTAATATGCTCGGTGGGTGGGTGTTTTGTTAATTTTAATTTTGTCAAATTTTATTAGTTATGCCAAGTTAGAGCTCTCCAATGTATTTCTGACTTGATTTGCTTTCGTTAAGAAATCGAGTTTCTAAAACCTGTGCCCCTTTCACAATTTAAATTTTTTCGACAAGGCACGCATCTCATTATTTTTACCTCCAAATTGATCTCCTTAAATGAACTTTTTGCAAAAATGGTAGCCGCACCAGATGGTTTATCCATCGTTCAGGGTTTCTGGCGGTCTGGAAAACCTGGAAAGTCAGGGAATTCAAAGGAAAAATCAGGGAATTTCGAGAGAAGCATATCGGCCCAGCAACTTTAACTGGTGCCGTTCGATAGAGCAGGAACAACCTCCAAGTGCTTTATTTTCTTATTCGAATCTCTATAGGTGGAAATTTTGTCCATAGTTCAGCAAAAGTCAATATAATTATAACCTATAAGGTTAAAAGTCTAAGCAGAGGTTTTATCGAAGGTCATAGAAAGTCAGGAAATGTGAATATTTTGGAGTCATGGCAAAGCAAAAAAAGTCAGGGAATTACTTTTTTGCATTTACTATTGAAATATTTAAAATTGAACACAAATTTCAACAGCTCTTGATGTTTTCTTTGCAGCAACCTTGCTCGGTAACAACAGAGGCAACAACGGCAACGCAAACGGAGCACAGTCAGGAAACAGTGGCAGCAGACCTCGTGCACAAGCCTTTATTGGAATGTCGCCAATCATGGAGATGATCTCCGAACCTGTCATCAATCTTGTCGCCAACTCCGATGGTCAGTCTCGAGTCATCAGACTGCCTGCAGGCAACTACGCGTCCATGTTCTCGGAGATGGCAACTGAGATGGCTAATGCTGTAAGTTTTTATGAAAGTTTTTTTTTTCCTCCTCCAAAAATTTCTCTGGCTTGTACACAGGATGTCTAGCATCAGGAAAACCTGGAAAATATAAAGAATTTTGGCCGATCAGGAATAAATCAGGAAGATATCAGGAAAATCCGAAAAATTGGATGTTTTATTATCAGGAATTTTTCTCACGCGAATCCTCGATGGAAAAAGTCTTACTGCTTTTTGCCTACCGTGCCAGGAGTTGAGAAAAATCAGGAAAATATCAGGAATTTTCATAATGAAAAAATCAGGAAAATATCAGGATTTTTCGAAATTAAAAAATACTAGACACCCCGGTACAGCTAAAGGCTGAACTCTGTGAAGTTTTAAAAATGCAAATTTTATAATGCAGTACATTTTTCCTGGAATTCTGTAAATTTTTGCTTCACTCCTCTTCACACCGAAGGCTCTCAAACTGCAGTGAACATCTTGAATTCCTGCTTTGTTCTCTCTGTTCAATAGGAATTATCAAGAGCAATTACCTGCCACAAGCTATTCCAGCTTTTAAGATCAGCGTAAACAATGTCTGAGAGAGACGTTCTTTCTTTTTTTTTCAAGAGTTTTGACTCAGAAATGCCTTTACGCCAGGTAGAAGTGTTTTTAGTTCTATTTTTATAGATTCCTTTAATGGCAAGTTTCTCGTAATACCATATTATTCCTACAATATCAACAAATACTTCAGCAGCTATTCTATTTAGCTCTAAAAAAATATTGACTCACTTGTCAAGTCCTTTTGTTACTTAAAAGCTGTACTGCATATTATTCTATGTATTTGAAGTGTGTATTGGTATTTTACTGTGAATTTCTTGGAATGTTTACAGGTTTCGCAGGCTGCTTCTGCTTCCTCTCAAGCTAATCAGTCAATACTTTCTTCGCTTCTTCAAATTACGGTAAGTGTTGAATGTCAACGGATTGGTAAATAAACGCTTGGTTGAAGCCATCCTTTAGCCTTTTTTTAAATTTTTTACTGATATTTTTTACTTATCAAGGTTTTTTTGGCCAACAAGTGTGTAGTATCTGAAAATTTCTGCTAAGCTTTTCATTTAGTGGTAACATTGTATTTTTCGGATATTTTCCCTCCAAAAATCTTCTATTTGGCATTGTACTTGTTACAACCAATCAAAAAACAACTGTGATTTGGATCAAAATGGATACATTATTTGTGCAGTGTAGCCCGTCCGGGCATTCTGCTTTTGTACTTGGAGTAGTTATGTGGAAAAAAATCACAATTGAATCGGTTTATAACGAAAATAAAATAATTGCCAAAATTGAAAACACAAGAAAAACGATGAAAATTGTTTAAATCAACCAGTTCTACATTTTAGAGCTCTTAAATATTGAATCATTCAACTTAATTACTTCTATGATTTAAAATTGCTCGAATAATACAGTTTTTATTGTTTTTCTCGTATTATAATTTCCGTTGCCGAATTCTTTTTGGAAATAATAGATTCAATTGAGCATGCGACTGTAGAGGCAAGCAAACTTACTGCTCTCTAGTAAGAGATCATCAGAGCAGCTCCACTACAGGCTGGAAAAATAAGAAGGAAAACGCTTCATTGGGATTCTTATTGAAGTTTACTGCACAGTTTCCATTTAATAAAAACCCCTATTCAATGAAGTTTTTCTCATCTTCCTTCAAGTTTGATAAGCAGGCTTGACTGTATTTCCACTAATTTGGCAAGATTTCTTCTAGCAAATTTTAAGGATCTCTTGAACAAGCATTTCAACTTCTTGGAAGCAATCAGGCTCACTGTACCAATTCGACACTAGTGAATTGTGATACAATCACAGAATTTAAAGAACTCACCGGTTCTTTTGCTTCCTAGATTGGCAGCATTAACTTAAGTCTTTTTAATGCCATGATTTTATGATACTTCACCGTTTCGACTTCTGTCTGAAATCTGGTCTATTTGTCTCCAAAAGAAACCTAGAAATTTCAGTACATAACTATGTTATAAAATCCTTGTTCATCATTTTGCTTCCAGAGTGAGTCCCTGTCCTTCGACGAAATCATAACCTCACAGAACGGAAATATACCCTTGATGAACATTTTCAGTCGTCTTCAGAGTTTCATCCAAAGAAGGATCCCATCCGTTGCTACATATCAACCCAATTCAAGCTCCCCCTCGGATCTAATACTTAACTCATACCATCTACCGGTTTTCAGACGACCCGTGAGAGAGGTTCTTTCTGAGCTGGAGGATTCCGTTAAAAGACTCCTGGTGAGTTTCCATCTCAAAACTTGTCTGTACGGCTTAAAGCAACTGTATTGGTATTTCAATAAAACTTATGGAAATGGTCAAAACATCATGTAATTAACCTTCAACAACGTGGTTGAAATTACGCCTAAATTGTGAAAACTTTTCGTGGAGCTACCACAGTTGAAAGAAAATTAGTTTTTGTTTGAATTTAGAAAAAACGAATATAATTCTGGAGTTGTTGTGAAAACTCTGCTGATGAGAGAAATATTTGCTTAAAGCTCCATAACTCTTTAAATAAAAGTCATACCAAAATTTTTGCCTGAAGTACCGTTTCTCTTTGATTATGAATCGCACCCAAATTTTCAGCTGGGAACACTGGAGGAAAAAAATTATCAATTTATAGTTGCACCTAGAATTTTTTTCGCCAAATTGCCGGCAACAGGCTGAAACGATAAAGGCTGTTGAGTAAATATAATTTGCGCATAAATTTCTAATTTTGTCACCTGAGCTACTGAATATTTCGAGAAATCCCTGGAAAAGTATTGTAATAAAAGTACTGGTTTTTTGACAGCCAGTTTTAGTAAACACCTTGCTTATGGGAGAAAATAAACGCGGAAATGCCCTTTGGAGGCAACGCTTTCTCATTTTTCTCTGTAATTTTTTATGCTCCTGCAGCCAATTTTAACGATGAGTACCTTTCGAATGGAGATGTATAATTTTCGGGGATATTATTGTCCCCAGCTAGGGAATGTGCATAGCTACTTATTTTTTTTCTTTCTTTTTTCACCTGATTGATTTTGCTCTCATCTTCCAGGAGGGTGTACCCATGCGGAATGAACAAGTGGATGTTATCAGTAGTGTAATGAACGTAATTGAGGTGGAGCTCTACATGTTTCTTGGAATTCTAGTTTATAGCTGTAAGTTTGATTTATTCATTTTCATCCTGTTCTTGCCTTGTACAAGCCTGTTATTCTTGCATTTTTGTCACCAGGAACCTTGGAAACTTGGATAGTAGGGATGTGAGAGAGAACACTCATATGAAGTAAAATTTCATTTTGAAGATTTTTATTACCAGATTTTTTCTTTGACCGCTATTGGAAATTTCTACAGTATCTGGTTCAAGTTAACAGTAAGATCTTGATTTATAGGATTTTACAAAACTGACCAGTTGCTCTATTAAATTGCGGAACCTGTTAATTTAGATTCCTTGAAGAGACCAGAAAATCGATGCGTCAAATCATGGAATCTGTTAAATGGCGATTCAATAAATGGAAGCCTTATTGGACTTGGCATTTTCAAAATTCACTGGTACCTCTGGTTCAGGCAATTTTATGACCAATAGATTGTCAGTATTGAAGTGGTTTTCTTCCATATTTATTTCTACCATGTGCCTTTGATAAAATAATCAATTTCATCCAAAGGTTAATCTGAATTGTAAAGAGAGTTGTCTGATGTGCCATATAGTTGCATTTTAGACCATTTTTGTTTTTTTTTTTTAATTTTCATCAATGATCTAGTGTCCAATCTCTAATGTATCATGTTTATTTTCTTCTAATGATACAAAGTTTTACTTACTCTATTATCAAAAGTGCCGTCTATGCCGATACTTTTGGCAATAATTGGATTTTTTTGGATAGTTAGGCTAATAAATATGATTTACATATGTGTATTGTAAAATTTCTATTTGTAACTAACTAATTTTTCCACATGCTAATGTATTTTTTTGTCATGCCAGTATACTTAGTTGTCTATGAATAAATACTCGATCCTAATTTTGTTCCAATTCCTTGTTCTTCCAGCTGATTCAAGGTCATTCCAGAGAATGATGTACTGTGAGCTGGAACATTTTGCTCGCAAACTGTTTCATGTCCTATTCAACTGCTGCCAAAACGGGCTTGTCGGGGTGCACCAAATTGCGCAGGCTTTTATCGTGAGTAAAATAGATTAACTATCCATCTGCTGTAATAACTAGAGAAATAATTGTAACATGTGATCATGTGCATGTAGACAGACAGACATATTGATAAAAAGTGTTCTTTAAAAGTTAGAAACAGATACTTTTTAATCAAGAAAAAATTAATTGTCTTAAAGTGTTTCTGTAAAATAGCACTAGAGGGAGAGAGAGAGAGAGAGAGAGACTGAGCGATGGCTCGTTGAATCAAATTAATGTTTTATTTTAAACCATCAAACGCTAAAAACACCACAAAAATAATAGCAAAATTGGCATAAGGAAAGCAAGATCCAGGAAAAATAACAGCAGAATCGGGGACAAATAAAAGCAAAATTTTCCAATCTCTAGTAATAACAGGGTTACTTAAATGAGTTATAAAGAAGAATCAATAAGTAAGTCATCAAGAACAAATCTTATAGTAGTCACGAAGTGGGTTTAGCATTTCAATAAATATCCTAACAGTCTCAATGCTTATCAGTCTCAGAAGTACATACTACTTGCTGGAAAATTGCTTATGATAATCGACTCTTAAGTAATGATTTGTTCTTATTTTGATATGAATTTGTCTATTCATCTCTTGCTTTGTGATGCCTAGGCCTCGGTGATGAGCAGTTCAACCATGTCCATCTCTCAAATCATGAAAATGTGGATAGTTCATGCGACAGTGTCTTTCTTGCGTGCAAACCTAATCATCAACCCTGAGCGGTCAGACTTGTTTGTCGCCCAGCAAATATCGGAAGAAGGAGCCAGTGGAAGTAGCAGTAGCAGTAGCAGTAATGGTATTTCCTCTTCAATCAGGAGCGGTGAAAGTTCCTCAGAGACGCCCATGGCTGTGCCCACAGTAAGTGTTCCCGATTTTGCAGTTTTTTTTTTATTATTTTAAACAGGTTCGCCACTATCAGGGAACATCGAGAATACCCGGAAAACCAGGGAATGTCAGGGAATTTTTAAAAGGCAGGGAAAACCTGAAAATGTCAGGGAAAATGATAAAAATGTCAGGATACAATTGGTAATTCACTGGTGTGATGGTAATCACACTGGCAAAAGTCACTTATTTGCTTTCTAGAGTAGGTTTGACGTATTGAACAACAAATTTTGCCGGAAAACTATTTCAAATTATGTCTCTTTAACCATCTGGCATGTTTTCAATTGTCAGGGAATTTTACTCAAATGTACTTGGGAAATGTCAAGGAATTTAGTTTTCTAAATTTTGTGGTAACCCTGTTTAAAGAAGTACAAGCAACCTCAATAGAGAATTTGCAGGTGTCTGAAATTTGATGAATTTCGTGTTTAAGTGGAAACCACTGAGTGAACTGTACACGAGGATACCCTTGGTTCATGAATTGAACAATTATTGGAGAAGATATGACGAAATGATCCAATCTGCTAATGTACGCGTGTTTAAGTGGGACATGCCGCCAGCCGACGTCACAAGGCGCTGCATTTTCTCACTTTTTAAATCTATTTTTATACTATTTCCCATATCAGAAAAGAAATTATCAAAAATACTGTGAAACCAGCTCTTTAAGCCTTTTCAGATGAAGCAGTAAAACATTTGCATGCAAATTCTCCATTGTGATCAATGTTTTTTCCCTTTTGTACGGGAGCTAATGAACTAACTAATCAACAAATAAGTAACTAATTTAAGAAATATGAAATTCCTTTTGAATTCCCTCTCCGGTGTCTCTCAGAAAAAGTTCTGACAAGATGAGCTGAAAGCACATACCTTTGAGTTAAAATAGTAAATTATATAAATTGGTTGACTAGTTTTAAAAAATGGGTGCAGAGAAAATGAGGGTCAACGGGCACATCATTTTCAATTTTGATCGTCACTCGTCGTACGTTCGATTGACTTAAGTTATACATAAATGCGCTCAACCAAGCTTATTGTTAGTTCGTCAACCCTGACTTTGTGACAAGTTGTCTTATTTCCATCAACTTTTTAATTTTTTTTATGTATTATTATTTTCAGACCTCTGAAAGCTCATCATCTGATTCTGGATCGACCTTGTCAAATCTAATGCAAATAATTGTGAGTAATCTACTTTTTTCAGTTACGTCTAATTTATGTATTTTTGTAGCATGATTGTATGTTACGATCACAATTAAATATGTCTTTTACATCAAGTCTGTGATAATCTTGGCAGGTGTGCGGAATTTGATGAATTTCAGTTATTAGTGGAAAATACCGAGTGAATTCAACCCAAAAGTATCCTTGATTTCGAAATTGAGCAATTATAAAAGAAATTTCGGCAGAATAATCTAATTTGCTGAAATACATCTGTTGAGGTGCTAAATGTTGCCGCAAGACATCACATCACAAGAGTGAACCTTTCCCTATTTTTCAATCTGTTTTTTGCCGATTTCCTGCTTCAGAAAAAAATGTTAAAAAATTCTATGAACTCAGCTCATTATGAACTTTCATATTATGCAGTAAAATTTTCCCATGTAAATTCTTTACCAGACAAAAGTTTGGATCGTGGGTTTCTTCTCATAAACTGACAAGATAAAGCAAAAATTATTTCATTGAATAGTGTCACGCTGTCATCTCTTAAAACTCCTTTATTGAAAATAAGGTTAAATATCAAGGAATAGTTTCAATTTTGCAAAAAATCATGGCAATTCTCTGTTTTAAAATATTTTCTTTATATCATCGTTAAAAATAGTTCTTTTGAATCCCTGCACCATTGCAGAATTAAACCTACTCAAGTTTCCTCCAAAGCTGATTCAAGTTTTCAATTTACAGAGTCAAAATGTAACTTTGGGAGACGCTGTACGCCTCTCCTGCGGAATCCGAGTTTCATTGGCCAATGTTGGGAGGCAGCTGGAGGATTTCTTACGCAGGAGATTCCCCTCTGTCAGGGAGCTCCAGCGAGGACAGTTGGTTATCGACATCATTCGCAACTCCTATGGAATGCCCCAGCTACGCACTCCTGTACGTGAGCTTTATGGAGAACTGAGAGCAACTGTAGGATCAGTTTTGGTGAGCCAATTTTCCGCAGTTTTTCCATTAATGCACTGCCTGTCATTGTGTCTTGAGTCCATTATTTCCCCCACCCTGTGGCATTTTTTTTTTTTTAAAGTTCTCTGTTAGATTTGTCCACATCCAATCGAAATTCATCCAACCTGATAGTAATCGTTCAAGTCAGTTTTTTTAAAAAATATTGTTGGTTAATGTGATTCTTATGGAGTCCTTTTTTAATAAGTGTTATTCACCATTCAATTTCTGTCCATGTTTTATAAATTTTCAACTAATGACATCGCATTTTCTTTTTGAATTTTGGGAAGGCGATGTTCTAAAACAAAATCATTGATGTTCAATGTGAAAAAAAAGCAAGACCAATTTATAAAGCACAGTCAGGAATTGAACCATGCTTCTTCTGGAAAAGGAATCAGTGCTCTCTGCCTCTTCGCCTTTTGATGGCTTTGTGTGCCAAGTCACCAAACCGCATGCAGTGCACAGAAGACTCCCCTCAAGCGCCGAGTTTTGAGAGAAGGAGTATAACTTATAAAATTTACATCTCAAGAACTTACAACTCTTCATTCTTCTTTTGGCATTGCATATAGTGTATATGAAATACAGGAACTTTATGTTTGCCTATGCCCCATGCCAAATTCGAAACAGGTGTGAGGTAAACTACAATATCCCCCCTTTGTAAAGTGGTTAGAAAATACCCATACCTTTTCTTCTTTTTCAAGCCTGGTTTCCTTTTTTACCAGACTTTTGCAGACATGCGAGAAGGGGTTGACGCAGTAGCGGCTGTGATGGATGTTATTGAATCGCGTCTATACGTATTCCTGGGCGTCCTGTTTCTCAGTCGTAAGTGCTTTTCATTATTTTTTGATTTCTGATTTTCCTTCTTCTTGTACAATTATTAGTATAGAATTTTCAATTTTATGCAATTTTGGAGTTTTAATATTTTCACTGCCAACTTTTTCCTGGGTACTTGTACCTGCCAGGCTAGAATAACTTGCAAAAAGAAACTTAAAATTTGAAAATTATGAATTACTATTAGTGGTGATTGCTGTGATGCAAGTGTTATCTCATGGATGTGCCCTTAAGAAGCCTTTCTCTAGCTCAAAGATAGTACGGCAGGTAGAGGAAGAGCTTTTAGCTTGGCAATGTAATAAATATCCGGCATAGAGTAAACCAACCGCTACCAACTTTTTTGGTCCATAGTAGTATCTTAATAGGCAATCACCATGACAAAATGTATGTTTGTTCAAAATCTTAATTACGCTCAAGGGGCCAAAATCCTAAACATGAAACCTAATGAAAAAAAGTAGACAGTAAATGATCCGTAAAAATTAAATCAAGATTTTTTTGTTTTAAGTACTGAGTCTGGATTGTAAAAGTACATAGTGCTCTAGACTAATATTAGAAATAGTGGATCAAATAATGCACGAATGAAGTAAGTATTTTCGCCAAAACAATGCTTACAAGGAAGAAAAAAAAGAAGACCCTCTCGCATGGTCCAAATTATCAACGCAGACCTGTTTCAGGCTCTGGCCTATCCTCACTGTAATTTTAGGCTAGAGCCTAAAATGCATCTGCTGTACTAATTTTGACAATAAAAGTGAGTTTTAGTCATTCTTTCTGTCAGAAATTTTCTTGTGCAATCCCTGTTCCAATCTGGTAATTCTTACAAGTTTTGCTTGCTTCCACCCTAGGCTCCCCAGAAGCGAAAAAGCCTCTTGCAGCACTGGGATTGTTTTATCTCATATCAAAGAGAAGCAAACACAATTTTTGCGTTTTACCATTTCATTTTAAAAATATTCATGCCGGTAATCCATATTTCTTACACTTTTCAGCCGACTGGGAGCAATTTGAAGTCACCATCCGAAGTGAGTTGAATCTCCTCGTTCGTGACTTAATCACCACTGTTTACAATTGCTGTGAGCGCAACCGTGATGGATTACTTCAAGTCTCTGAAGATATGCTGGTGAGTTACTTATTTTTCAAAACTCTAGCGATAGAAAATCAGTTTATCGACCTATTCCCGTGCTTTGACGAAATTTTTCGTCAAGGGTACATAGAGAAAGAAGGCATTGACAAGCTGGCTTGTCCAACTAACTTCATGAGCATTCCTCTGAAGTCCGTTTAATAACTACAGATGGAGCCATGTGTATGGGACAATCAACGTTTTCTTGACACCTGGAACTACAGAGCAAGCTGCAGGAAACGGCGGCATTTACAAATTGGCTTGTCCACGCATCATGCAGCTATTCAATGGATGGGCTGATTTTACCTAATTTAAGTGGGATGTTAAGGTCCGGAAAATGATGTACAAGTGGCATGGCAATGGGTTGAAGGAAAAACTGTTGTGATCATATGTGGACTCTAACTGCGCTTAATAGCTCTCTGTTAGCTTTTTATATTATCAATATCAATTAAAATATTTTTTTTTTTTTTTTTTTTTTTTTTTTTTTTTTTTTTAAGTTCTTTATTCCATAAGACACAGTATACAGATAATAATCCACTCTCATCAAGAAAAGATTTTTTAAAAGAAAAACCTATCATATAATTTTAAGAGAACAGACAAAGTAAAGCTACCGGAATAAAATAAAAGACACAAGAGGGGTAGGGGCTGATAGATAAACTAATGGAAAATTCAAGCGGGATTAACCAAGAAAATGGCATGCCTTGGCAGGGGGATAAACAAAAAACGCTAACAAAAAGAAAGATACCGAAAATAAAAGATCGCAAGAATATGAAAATGAGGGAGGAGTGAAACGTGAAAAAGAGAAGAGACGAGACAGATAGGAAACTGAAGAAAGAGAAATTGAAGAAAAAAGAAAAGAAAAGAGAAGGGAGGCTAATTACAAGAACGGCAAAGAAGCAATTTAAATTAAATCACACAAGAGAAAAATTAAAGTAAATGACGGTAAAAGAGTAAAGTCTTCGCAAAAATAAATTTAAAAATTAAACTAATTTAATCATGATTTCTTCTTTGCAGTCGGGCATCATTAGATCAAATCTGCCACAGCCCCTGAAAATGTGGGTTGTGTACACAACGATCTCATACCTAAGAACAATGCTGAGTTCGAATATGCAGAGGTCAAGTGAGACAGTCAGAGAGCGGGCTGCCCATCAGTCGTCGGCCAGTGCGACCGTCTCCAGTGCTGCAGCAGCAACCCCCAGCAGAGAATTGCCTGCAACTGCATCAGCTCCAGTTAATGATGTTCCTGTTCCCACCATTCCTAGATCTGCGCCTGCGCCTGAGGTTTGTCAATGGTTCCCTTGCTCTGAATTAGACCCAATCAGAAGCGGATCCAGCAATTTGGCAACACCATGTTTCCTCCCTTTAAACCTATGTTAAATAATCAATTCTTGTCGGAACACCTGGCCCCTCCAAGAATCGATATATTTCTAAAAAAAAATACAATAATTAAAATGGGTTTAAATGGAAAAAAACAATATTGCCAATTTGCTGGATCTGCCAATGGACCCAATATGGCTATTAATTATCACTGGCTGATGCGTGCTAGTTAACCCTTTCCGGTCCAATGTTGGATATATTTGTCGTGAAAAAGAACAGGTTTAAGTCCGATGTCAAATATAGTAGCCCAAAAGTTTGAACTTCTGCGCAAGCCCGATGTTGGGTATATTTGACTGCTTTAAATTGTGTTAGTAAAATTTGTTGTAGATAAAAACATATATTTCGTCATACGGAACCCCCACAACCATCAAAAATTAGTTTATAAGGCTTAAATAGATGGAAAAACTGAGGAGCGTAGGAGTGACCGAAATTCGGAAAAAAGACGCGGACTTGCCACGGCGGCCGTGGAAAACTGCCGTGGACCAGAAAGGGTTAAAATGAAACAGGTGGATTCTGTTAAAGGGACAAAAGCAAAGCATTTTCATCGCACCTGCTTGGACTGAATGCACTTTCTTCCTTTATCGCATTGAAACGTATTCGTGTTTATTCATTCATTCAAATTTTTAATTCTAACCTCTCAAAGGTATTTGCTAAAAAAGGATGGACTGATTTTAAACTTCTATGTATGGATTTTGGCTCAAAATTTTCGTATTTTTAGATTTTGACGGATCAGTTTCAGAATCGTGTGGAAAACCCTGATTTTCAAAGACAGGACCTAGAGGGCTTTAGAATGTTGACATTTGGATTTTTGGGGGTCAATTCCATGTTCGTCCATGAGGTTTTGACTTTGTCAGACCCAAAATACCTAACTTAACCAAAATAAAGCCTTGTGCAGGTGGTCTGGGACACCATGTGTATACTAAACTTCAAAATGACCAGGAGTAGTTTATTTTGCCTTCTTTGTTCGTAATTCAATGGCACAAAAAGACAATGATCGAATCCAACATGATTATTTTCCCTGCACATTTTTGAACTCCAATTTTGGAGCCTTTTTTCTTAAGTTACCTTGGCGGATCGGCGGGTCAACAACTGCTGCGGGGAAAATTTTGCATCCTATCACACTTGAACAACCCACCTACCTCACAATCCTTCTTTTTCTTCGCTCCTGTGAAGTATCCGCGTCCAACCTAGTTTTTATCTTGTATCGTGTTGAAATAAAATTTGTCTTGTTTTCCAGCGCATGGAAAGTGAAAGTATTGAAGCGGAGCTCCCACCTCTCAACTCTAGTTTACCGAATGAGCCTTTACCAGAAGTATCGATAGGTTCTGAGGGCTGGCATAATCACCTGCGTCGTCAGGTATTTATTTTTTTTTATTAATTCAATTTTCAGCCCTGTTTTCTTAAAATTGACACAAAGAAAATTAAATTCCAAAACTGTTTGTGCTCAGGAAGTTGTGAAGAACATCAAATAATAATAAAAATCAGCTGGTGTTGAATTCCTTGGTTTTCAGTGTAGCATTCTTTGAAAACATTTGTACACGTGTTTGATGTGTGATGAAAAGGAAGGTAAAACACATTGATAGGCTAATTGCGAAACCTTTTTTAAGTCTCTACTGGGGAGTTTCAAAATTTCCGCCCCAATTTTATTCTTTCAAAGAGAAACAAGCCAAGTTTATCGCTTAAAATTTTTACAATATATTTTATCAGCAGAGAAGAAAAATCCCGGAATTTTTCAAGGAATCGAATCAAATAGCTTTCCAAAGAAAAAATAAAGCATGACCTAAGTCTGCAATGTTGCGAACAGAGATCGTCGTCTTGCACTTTGGTCATCCATCTAGAAATTCCTTTCGCTCGTTTCGTTCAGAACATAAAAAAGTTTGATTACTGAAGAAGAAATTTTTCTGATTGTAGCTTTTTCACTTTAATCTTTTGTCTTTAATAAAATCACTCAAGAAACTTCTCTTTTTCTTTTGAATTATGTTCCTTTTTTTCATATATAATAAAACCAACATTAAATCTTTTACCACTCAGACTTTATAGATTAAGCATTTGGCTTCTTGATTAGATGCTCTGCAGACTTACATGAGTGCTAATTAATAGTCAAATTTGTACTTTTTGGTTTCAGGATCTTCAAGAATGGGTGCCGATTATCACACGCGATGCTCAGTATCAACGTAGACAAAGTCCGCAAAGACCATACAGCGATGCTTATTTATCTGGTATGCCAAACAAACGCAGGCGGCTTATCACTGCAGCCAAACCACCAACCAATCGTGTTTCTCAATTCATTTCAGGTATTCATTCGTCCGATTTTTTTCCTATTAATTTAAAAAACTTGTATCTTGTACCTACTTTTTCCAGTGCCATGGGAGTTGTATTTATCCCAATTAGTTGCATCTTTAAAGCCAATCCCACAAAACCCTATATGAACAATCTTTCCTAATTAAAAGTGAGTGATGTTTGTAATAACGTACCAAAAGTAAGCTTTAATGTTGAGTTGTATTTTTTTCAACACTCCTCTGTTTCCAAAAACTGAATCCATAAAGTGCATTTAATTCCTTTGGAAGCTGCAGAATATTTAGCCTAATAATTTTTCAAAAGGGATCATGCCAAAGATGACTCAAATTCTAGCATCCACTGCGCTATCCTAATTTAATTTTCACTCTCATACTTTTCCTTTTCCTTCTAGGAACATGTACCCTATCTAAGCTTTTTCATGTTTCAAATTATGATTAAGTTTGTTTTATTTTTCAGAATCCCTTGAAAGGGCAATAACCTCTGCAGACGTAGGCACTAGCTCTGTCACAAGCTCTGTAGTCCAACATGCTGCTGTGGACCCAACGTTACGCTCTGCGTACGTACAACAGCTACGGGCAAGAACAGACCTAAGCTCGAATCCAGATTTTAACCCTAGTAAATATCCCAACGCTTCTAATTACTTTAAGAAAAAATAAGCGTTCTTGTAACATTGTAATATTAGAATCAATTGTCTTAGTGTTGCAGACAGAGCCCAAAGGCTCGAGTGTTCTCGTTAAATAGCACAAATGCTGCACTGCAGGTCCGTTTGTTGTGTATGTGATATTTGTCTTTTAAGTGCCACGATTTTAAGGAAGGTGTCTGTTCAACGGTTGATGTAAAATACTAACAAGTTTTTTGCAAAGTTCCATCTAATCAAATATTGCTGCTTTGAGCGGAGAAACGTAAACCAATAGTTACATTGAAAGAGCCAATGTTCCTATTTTTTCTGCCATGGTGCTTACTATCAATGGTAAATCTTTTTAATTTTGCATAGCATGGAGGAGCTTTAAAACTAAATTTCGAGTGGAAAGTGAAATTCTACATTATAATTTGTTGTTCAAGGTGTTACTTCGATCATCATTCTTAATGCAAAATTTTTGTTGTGTGACGAACTGCACTAGTTTTATGTAAACAATTTAAAATGATGTAGTGACAACAAAATGCCAATTATAAACCCTGTAAGAGTTCCATCAAATTTGGCGTGTTGTTCCTACCTTTTATGTCAGTTAAACTTTTTTGTTGCAAGAACACCCTAGTGACTTCTCCATCAACATTTTAGTAGAGACTAGCAAGGTGAGCGGTATTTCTGATACATGTTCATGACTGCTGTCTGAGTCTCCAAAGCATTTAAAAAATTTACAATAATACTGCCGTATTCCTCTTTTTTTACTGTTGATTTGTATGTAGTAGTTGCTTGTTCAATCCTGTATAGATAACAAAACGCAAGACTGCAGAGAATTACTTTTGTGTAGTCAATCAACTCCTTTTTTTTTTTTTTGTTTAAATGTGGATCCATATCTCCGGTGAAAGTTTCAGCGTAGTTTTTTGTCCGATTTGTAATCACTCTTGCCTCTCAAACATAGAATTGCACTTCTAAGGCTGGCTGTATTATTTTTGGTGCCGGCCAATTCCGTGCAAAATTTTTGTAGTTGAGTGTGGAAATGAATTCACCTCTAGAGAGTATCCTCTGTCTCTGACATGCCGGAGTTGATATTCAAAGTTCCCGGATTAAGTTTAGTTCTCAGCTTTTCATAGGCTGTCAATTTGTCGGCCCCTTAATTGTTATCTTCGTGTAATCATTTTAAAGTGTTAATCCAAGAATTTCAGCTTTTTTATTTAATTCTTAGAGTTTTCGGACAGGTTTAATAAACTTCCAACTAATGATTAATTGTTTATTCAGTGGACTGTATGGCGAAAACTTTAATGCCACTCTAGCACTATACGTATGTATGTATCATTGTTGAAATTTGGCTTTTTAAACAAGCGTTTGAAGCCTAGTTTCTGGAAGTTTTTTTTTTTTTTTTTTTTTTTTTTTTTTTTCCATTATAACAAATCCATGTAGCGTTTAATGTTATAAGAGGGTGTAAAATTAGCAGCTCGTGTTTTACAGCAGGGTACTTACAGATAAAGAAAATCAGAAACTGTCAGTGAATTTCATCTTGTCAAAGTAATCGGGGAAAAGTCAGGGAATTCCATGAATTAGACTCAATATTCTGAAAATCCTGTCCGTCTAATCGAACCGATTCTCACAATCAGTTCCGGGAAAGACCTTCAGACCATTGCTTTTTTATAGATAGTTGGCCCGTTTTTTTCTAAGTGTGGCATTATTTTTACTGTCACGTCATCAGTTCGTTTGTAGTCTCTTTGCAAGCTGGTCAAATTTTTAGCTTGCGGTTCTAGCATTACCGGAAAGTGTGATTACAATCTAAACTTATCCATCCGTGAACAAATTAACAATTTTGATTTTAAGATGTGAATTGATCCCCAGTGATTAATCTGGTCAGAAAAAATTTCAGGTGTCTTACTTTCTTTAGACTTATGAGCAGATGAACCCTCTCAATTTTACTGCGTATTTGTATCACTGACATTTTTTTTAATGCTCATACCTTTTGTTAATTTAGTTGAAAGGTCAAACTTTTTAACAGAGCTTCAATAAATTTTCACTTCAATCACTTTGTCTCGGATAGTTCTTTTTCGTTTCCACCTTACCCATAAAAAATTCATTGCCATGGCTATTGCTAATAGTTATTAAATATCTTCTCTTCATCTATTAATTTAATATATTTAAGTGCTGTTTTATGTACAGCACTTAAATATTACTAAAACTAACTATATTACTTTATGTATATATTATTCTGCCATGAATTATTATATGCCAGTGTATTGTAGTTTTAAATAGTTCACCCATATCCATGAAAGATTTATATTTAGCTTCAATATGAAAGCAGAAGAATTGAACCGTAATCAGCCTAGGTGCATTTCTTATACTCTGGTTTTCTCTTATGTCTCATTTTTTGCTAGAAAATTATATTATTCAGTGTCTTTAAATTTTCCATGAAATTTGCCGAGATCATGAAAAATATCTATGTTCACAAAATTTCAAGTTTGAATGTTGCTTAGTTTCCTGTCCATAAAATAAAACATCAGAGAAAATTAGGCAGTGTTTGATAAAGTTGGACTGACTCTGAAGAAGTCCGTTCAAATAATTTTGAACAGTGCTGGGTTCTTTGTCAATGATGAAATTGATAAAAAAAATGAACCTAGATTAAAGTAATGTAAGATTTTTATTAGAAATGGATAGTTTTTGCAGAATAATTAAAAATTGAAGAGCAGGAGTAATGTAACAAAATAATAAAAGGATCTCAAATCTACACTATAATGCAAACCAATTTGGAAAATCTCGTCATGTAAATACAGAAGATTCGAAAACGCCTTCAACTGAGGCGTGATACCTCACGCGTTCCGGAGAGTTCAAATAGTTGTATCCCTGCGCCTTCGCAAGGCGATGGAAGTTTAATATTGAAGTAGCGTCCCCGCGTTGTTTTTCGTTTTTCCTGTACCGCTACTACAGTTTCGACCGTTCAGGCCGTAGTTGAAGGGCGCGTAAGCCTGGATTGTATTTCGCAAAAAGAAAATTTTACCAGAATAATTAAAAATGGAGAGCAGGAGTAATTTAACACAATAATAAAAGGAACTAAAATCTACAATATAATGCATAGCAATTTGAAAAATCTCGTCATGTAAATACATGAGATTCGTAAACGCCTTCAATTAAAGCGAGATACCTCGCGCGTTCCAGAGAGTTTAAATAGTTGTATCCCTGCGCCTTAGCAAGGCGATGGAAGCTTAAAATTAAAGTAGCGTCCCCGCGTTGTTCTTTGGTTTTCCTGTGCCGCTACTGCAGTTTCGACCGTTAAGGCCGTAGTTTAAGGGCGCTAAAGCCAGGGTTATTTTTCGCAAATGGATAGTTTTTGCAGAATAATTAAAAATTGAAGAGCAGGAGTAATTTAACAAAATAATAAAAGGATCTCTTATCTACAATATAATGCAACAAATTTGGAAAATCTCGCCATGTAAATACTAAAGATTCGTAAACGCCTTCAATTGAAGCGTGATACCTCACGCGTTCCGGAGAGTTCAAATAGTTGTATCCCTGCGCCTTAGCAAGTTTAATATTGAAGTAGCGTCCCGGCGTTGTTTTTCGGTTTTCCTGTGCCGCTACTGTAGTTTCGACCGTTAAGGCCGTAGTGTAAGGGCGCTAAAGCCAGGATTGTATTTCGCAGAAAGATAATTTTTGCATAATTATTAAAAATTAAGAAGCAGGAATAATTTAACTAAATAACAAAAGGAACTCAAATCTACAATAAAATACAAAAAACTTACGTAGTTTAAGGGCGCTAAAGCCAAGGTTGTATTTCGCAAATGGATAGTTTTTACAAAATAATAATAAATTAAGAGGCAGGAATACTTTAACTGAATAATAAAGGAACTCAAATCTACAATATAATGCAAACAAATTTGGAAATTTTCGTCATGTAAATACAGAAGATTCGTAAATGCCTTCAATTGAGGCGTGATACCTCACGCGTTCCGGAGAGTTCAAATAGTTGTATATTTGCGCCTTAGCAAGGCGATGGAAGTTTAATATTGAAGTAGCGTCCCCGCTTGGTTTTTCGGCTTTTCTGTGCCGCCAGGGGCGGACTGGCCATGGGGGTGGGGAGGCGATCGCCCCCTAACAATTTGCCGCGGAGGTCCCGAAGGGGCCCCTGCGGCAAATTTTTTTCGAGTCGTGGTTTTTTCCCTGTAATGTTGTAATATCCTTATCCTATTCAATCACTAAAAGGCCCCGAATTCCTTGAAAATTTGTCTCTAAGAGACATGGAAGGTCGCCAAAAGCATTTGTGATGAAGGGACCCCCGATAAATCCTGAGGATGGGTTATTTTGAAGTTCAAGTACTGTAGAATCCAAGTTCAATAATGCCTACGTGTTTAAAAAGTGTGAAATTTTCAAAATTTTCCGGGGGAGGGCCCCCGAACGACAGGAGGGGCCCTTACACTTAGGTCTCCTCCTAACTTTTCGACTACCAGTCCGCCCCTGAACCAAACACGCAATTACGCCTGGCGCAGAGAGCAATGATGACGAGGACTTGAGATGAAACTGAGAGGCCTTCGGCGCGGCGGTCGGCATGTAACACATATCAGCGCCTACAAGACTGAATGAATACTCCAAGCATTGCGTCAAATATAGTGCGGTCGCCGGGAAACGCATCGCGCCTACAAGACGGCTAGAATACTTCACGCATTGCGTCAAACACAGTGCGTTCAGCAGCTAGCGGTCGGTGTGAAGCACATAGCGCCTACAAGACTGAAGGAATCACGCGGTCAGCGCGGTGCGGCACAGCGGCGGGAGTAAACCATCTATGACATAGCGTTACGAATTCGTGACAACATATTTCCGGGGATTTTAAAAAATTGATAGTTTCCCCTGTGCCATGATTTTGCAAAATTGCATTAGTTTTTTTTCTGGAAAATTGATTCTCTTAACTTTACTTTAACTTACTTAACGTAACTTTAACTTTTTGAAAAAAAAAATTGGTACCCTTTTTTTGCAAGCTGCAAAATAGATAAGCGTTTCCTAGAATCTGAGATCCAACATTTATTCATGCCATAGGGGATTAAAATTATTAAACCGCATTTATGGTTTCTTTTTTTCCATAATTTTGTCGTTCATTTCTTATACATGGAAGGCCTTCTCCGCACAAAGATAGGTTTACAGAACTTAACTTTCGCGCGAAGTTCCGTGAACTTTTGCTAGTCAACACGTCAAACACAGTGCGGTCAGCAGCGGTCGCCGTGTAACGCATAGCGCCTACAAGGCTGCACGAATACTTCACGCATTGCGTCGAACACAGTGCGCTCAGCAGCGGTCGGCCTGAAAGGCATAGCGCCTACAAGACTGTAGGAATACTTCTTGCATTGCGCCAAACATAGTGCGATCATCACGGCGCGGCGGAGTTAAAATTATTGAACCACATTTATGATTGTTCTTTCATAATTTTTGCGTTCATTTCTTGTTAATGGAAGGCCTTTTCCACACAGAGCTAGGTTTACAGAACTTAAATACCGCGCGAAGTTCCGTGAACTTTAGCTAGTAGTGTTGACAGGGCTTTCGCAAAAAAATGTGTCCAACACGAGTAAACGCGTCTTGTGCACCCCTTCTCCTCCGGCACGTTCACTTGATGGTTTTTATTGATGTTTCAAAACGAATGAGAAGGCGGCGACAAAAAAGAGGCGGCCCATGGGCGGCAAGTAGGTAAATCCGGCGCCTGGAACGAATGTGACAAAATTACTGCGCGGAACTGTTCTCGCTGTCAAAGTTTATGTCAAAGTCAAAGTTTAAAACTTCTCCACTTTCGGATACCTGATTGTTTTGGATTTCTTACACATAGTCGATGAATAATGATTGACATATCATGAGGAATGATGTTCCAACTTTTAGCAAAATAAATGTCATGAAATTTTCAAAAATTTCATTTATTTTGCATCCCTCTGAGCGTGTCTTATACCATGAGGGAGATAGCTCTAACGGACATTCTTGTGACTGAGACATTAATTATCAGTTTTGGAATAACATGTGCCAACTTACAAAACAATGAGCTACTTACTTAACGATAATTTATAGGTAAAATCAAGAACTAAAGTGACGCTTTGGAGACGTCATTTTAGGAGGGCAGAGAAGGGAATTGCCCTCCCCCCTCCCGCCCACCTTTAATTGAAGTTGCTCTTCTGAGAGGGCTATTTTGATACACATTTCCAATTAATTGTCGTAGTACAGCAACAGTTGGATTAGTAACCTAATTTATTGGGGTACTACCACAATTTCAAGCTCCCTAATCAAGTTGGGCCTTAACCCGTACCTACCTCTTTTTTCCGAGTTGAAGCAGCCGCCCAAGCAAATACCTCCTTCCAACAATTTTTGAACCCCCCCCCCCCCCCCCCCCCCCCCCCCCCNGTTACAAAGATGTTCCAAGATAAAAAAGAAAATCAACTTCGTTTTTCCTCCCGCCGGATGAGGTGGAGTGCAGAAAAACATGTCACCTAGTGCAGAAAGAATGATAAGAAGTTCATGTAGAATGTGCTATAACGATATAGTTTCCGACTGTGCCCAAGTGTGGACTGAAATGGACTGATTTGGTGGCTGCGTAATTCGATACAATATCTAACTCTTGGTTCAAACCAAAATGTACCAACATAACCTCGAGTCAACTGTACTGATTTATTGAAAATTTAGTCATTGACCGGTCATGAATCAATTGAAGACTTCATAAAAACGAGAAATTTCTATTGTAAGAAACACTTGGACGCATTTTACCACCATGGTGCAAAGGACGCGAATTAGAAATTTAATTTCTAAAATTTAGGGTTCGATATTATGTCGAATGACGTAGCTACTAAATCAGTCTATGGCAGAGCAAAATCACCATCCGCCGCATGTGCTTAGGTGCAGATTCTGGTTCTCAGTGCTATATCGTTCTTTTCCTCTAACGCGTTATTATTAACGCTCATCATTCCTGCTTAGATAATATTTAAAGGGAACTTGTGGGTTACAACTAACCTAAGTATAATTACGGAAAATAATCAGAAATTAATTAATTTAGATAAGAAATAAATGA